GTGGTGGTGGTGGTGGTGTCGGCGGCTGTGGTAGTGGCTGAGGTTGCGCTTGCTACTGGTAGTTTTGTTTGCGTGCGTGCTTCTGTGTGCATGCCACCGTGTGCATGTCCGTCTGGTTACGGGTGAGGGGGTGTTCGTGTGTCGGTTGCTTGGTTGTGTATGCGAAAGCTTGCTCCGTGGGTTTGCTGCTACTAAGTATCGTCTGCTTTGTCGTATTGTGCTGGCAGCTCTAGCAGATGTGTTTAGTGCATGGTTCGCATGGTGGCTTTCGTTGTGGTGGTGTTGCTAGTGGTGACGGTTTTGCAGCAGCAACATTAACCGAAGCGCCAACAGCGGCAGTCGCAGATACTACTGCTGCTGCTGCTGCTGCTACTACTACTACTACTACTACGACTACTACTACTACTACTACGACGACGACGACTGCGACTGCGACTACGACTACGACTACGACACTCCGACTACGACTACCACTACTGCTACCACCACCACCACCACCGCCGCCGCCGCCGCCGCCGCCGACTGCCACGGCCACTGCTACTGCTACCGCCATTGCTACTACGACGACTACGACGACTACGACGAGTACGACGACTACGACGACTACGACTACCACGACTATCACGACTACTACGACTACTACGGCTACTACGACTTCGACGACGACTACGACTACGACAACTCACTGCCATCCACTTCCACTACCACTACCAGTACCCCACAACCCTAAAACCCAAAACCCTAAACCCTGAACCGTAAACCCAAAATCCCGACCCCGACCCCGACCCCGCCCCTGCACGCATACACCTACCACTACCACTACCACCACAACCACCACTACCACCACTACCACCCGCTGCCACCGCTACCACCGCTACCCCCGCTACCGCCGCTACCGCCGCTACCGCCGCTACCGCCGCTACCGCCGCTACCACCGCTACCACCGCTACCACTGCTACCACCGCTACCACCGCTACCACTACCACTATTTCAATTGCTACCACCGCTACCACGCTACCACCGCTACCACCGCTACCACTACCACTATTTCAATTGCTGCTAGTATACTGCTACTACTACAGTTGCCTCCTACTACCTCTTAGTACTTCTTACTACCTCCTACTACCTCCTTAGACCTCCTCATACCTCCAATTGCCTCCTGCTATCTCCTACTACCTACTACTTGCCAGTACTACTACTGGAAGTACTAGCGACTAGTACTGGTACTAGTACTAGTACTGGTACAAGTATTGGCTGGTGTTGGGACTAGTACTAGAAGTACCAGTCCCAGCAGCAGTACTAGTACCAGTACTAGTACTCGTACTGGTGCTAGCACTAGCACTAGCACTAGCACTAGCACTAGCACTAGCACTAGTACCAGTACCAGTACCAGTACCAGAAGTACTAGTACTCTTACTTGGTAGGACAAGCAGTACTGGTAGTACTACTAGTGCTGCTGGTACTGGGCTAGTGCTGCTAGTGCTACTAGTCCTTCCAGTACTCGTAGTACTACTCGTACTACGAGTGCTACCAGTATTGCCAGAATACCAGTTCTACCAGTACAAGTTTACTAGCGCTAGTACCAATCTTATCAGTATTGCTGCTATTATTGTTGCCTCTATTTGTCCCACGCCGACGACCTCTCCCTACTTAATTACACTGCTGCTGCAATCACTGCTCCGCCACCCCCACTGCTACTTGCAGATCCGGGATCCCTTTTGCAGCAGGTGGGAGACTTGGAGAAGAGGACAGATCGCCTGGAAGATTGGGAGAAGCAGCTTGGTGGCGAAGGGGATGAGATGTTCGATGGTCAGCGTGTTACCTTTGATTGTCAGGATCGGACAGTTCTGCTTCAACCCAAAAACTAATAATAGTGTTTCAAGCATGCAGAAGTGGCATCCAGTGGTTGGTATTCAAAATCTTTGAAGCCTGCTTTGCTGAACTGGAGGCGGGCACAGCGTGTGGAGCAGCAGCTGACCGAGGTGACAGAACTGCTCAGTGCCAGTGATGCCACTGGGACGGCGATGAATTGGGTAAGCTTGGCTCGGGTTCCAAAGTTCGCTTCTGAGTGCTGAAAATGTTGGATCTGAATAGTTGTTAGTGTTAGCCGCTTTGATGTGGTCGAGCCACTTTGCGAATTGGTGGAGATTTCCGGCGAATCTCATGTCAATGGGCAACTAGACACTTTCTGATCTTGCAATCTGAGCACAGAACGTGAAGAATTTGCAAACCGACCATAATTTCACGTTCCAAAGGCACCTGTAAGCAGATGACAGAGCATGGCTTCCGTTGCGAAAGGCTTACTGTAGCAGGACCAGGAGCCATCCGCCCAGGCCAAGCTTGGCCAGCAGAGCAGGGAGTTGAAGCGTGAGCTGGTGCAGATGAGCGAGAAGCAGGAGCAGCTGGAGCAGCGCCAGGCAACTGCTGCGCCGCGTGCGCTGCAGTGATTAGCCTCCAAATGGTGCAGGGTGATCACGAACAGAAGAACCACGTGCTGCAGCAGGCCGGCTGCAAGTAAGGCATTGCGATGGATTGACCTGGGTGGTGTTGGATGTCGTCGGTTGGCTTCGGATAACCAAGACTTGTCGAATCTTTGGCCTCCGGGCCTCTGCAGCGAGAGACTGGACGCTCTCGCGCTTTTTTTGCACTTGGGTCTTTGTATCAGGACCTGGAGCAGTTAAAGGAGTCGCATGGCCAGCCGCGAGCTTGGCCGCCCTCTTGTACCGTGTCAGTCAGTTGGGGATCTTTGTCAGTTGCTAGAATTCCTAGTCCTAGTCCAGCTTTAGCAGCGGATGTTGGTCTTGGAACCACCAGGTCCGAATGCTGTCCAAACAATCTTAAGCTTTTCTTGACTTCCACTTGATGGTTGAGATTCATTAGCACAGATTAGTGAGTGGGTTTGTGTGCTGCAGAAGCGACCCGACGGACGTGCAAGCTCTGCCAGCACATGGAGTGAAACGGGACTCGATGCAGGCTGACGAGCACCTGCAATGGTGCCAAAGCCGAGATCACAAAGCAAGGCAAGACTTTGGGCCAGGCCCGGGCTAGGGCCATCGCCCCACAGCCAATGAAGCAGAAGCAGAAGCAATAGTTCTGGGACCGACAGGTTGACATTGGCAGCGAGAGCATTGCGCAGCTTGTCAGCAAGCCCTCGCCGCACCGTTCGGGACGGCAGTCTTCGCCAGGCAACGTGCTCAACGAGTGGAGGCCTCCATTGCGAGCCTCACTCCTCGCGTCTGCTTCGTGGAGGCCAGGGCCTTGGATCTCGCCGGCTTGAGGCGCTTCTCTTCAGCCTTCCCCCCCAATGAGACGTATCTGAACACGCTGCGGACTTGCCCGGCAGGAGACCGTGAAGGACTTGATTCAAGAGTTGACCACGAGGTTGGAATCCTATCCGTACCATTTGAGGGTGGTTATGCCAAACAGAAGCATGGAATATGTCGCTGGCCACAAGCAGCCCTACTGCCTGCTGCGAGACGGGACGTGTCGAATAAGGCATTCTACTAGCAGAAATCGAAAAACCTTCTGGGCTCTGGCCAGGCTCCGTGGCCTCGATGGTACACTTGGAGCGATGGAGTCACTTCCCAAGTCCTGAACCTCAAATCCATACGATGTCGCTTCATGCTGCTTCATTCATCTTATCCGAGGGAGGGTTGGAGGGCAAGAAAGATAGACGGTTGAGTGTAGGGAAGGCAAAGTTTTTTGTTGTGCTCAGGCCTCGCCTCAGCGCCGTAGAGTCTCAGATGCCGAGGCCTTCCGAGTTCCAAACCGCGCGCCGTCTCTTTAAGACCCACCTGCGAGGCTACAGGACGTCCTCAAGACTGTGGCCATCTTGCAAGCAGATCAGAAGACAGGCGATGAGCACCGCACTCAGCGTCAGGGCTTGCTGGCCACGGTCCCTCGTTATCCGCGTTCTGCTCTGCATCTCCAAGGACGTCGGCTGCTCGCTTCGATCGCATTGAAGCTTCTGTGGCCAAGCTGTCAGCGGATGCAGAAAAGTCGACGGAGTTCACCGAGAGGATGCGCGGCTGGGTCGAGAAGATGGACGACAAGACCCAGCGTTTGGGATCCACAATAGCCAAGTTGGAGGACAGCCGAGTCAGCACAGAGGCACTCGTGGCGAGAAGCGAACTCGACTTCGCAGGTGTGCGCGACCAGCTGGAGAACGCGACGACCCGCGTGGCCAACTTCGAGTTTCGCCTCACAGCCTTTGACGTGCGCCTCTGCACTGTGGAGCCTCTCTCAGACATGAACGTGAAGTTGTGCAGCATGGAGCCGCGGATTGCGAAGTTGGAGCAGTTGGAGGTTGGCGTTTCACGGCTGGAGCCGGCCGTCCAAGAGCTCGTGGCCCGTTTCAGCGGCTGCGAAGCTCGGGCGTCGAGCCTGGAGAGCTCCGTCCAGAAGCTGACGGCCACCAGCGACAACCTCCGTGCCGACCAGAAGGCCCTTGCACACCAAGTCGACGACCAGCAGCTCATGCTGGAGGACGCGAGGACGGAAACCGCTGCATTCAAGGAAGAGGCCAAGAAGCTGAACTCCCAGGCGCAGGCCATGCAGAGGGGCCTGGAACAGACAGGCAAGACACAACACAACCTGCAGTCTGACCTCACGGAACTGCAGCAGAACTTGGAGCAAGTGCAGCAACGTCTCAAGACAGATCTACGTGGAAACGAAGACAGACTAATAGAGAGCATGCAGGAAGTGGATTCCCAAGTTACACGCCGCCTCGAAGATACCCGAACGACGATTGACAAGCAGAGTCGTGCCTTGACTCTGCTCCAGCACAGCAGCAAGGATCTGGAGCGAGCCATGGAAGGCCTGAAGCGGCAGGCAGGGCTTTGGGGCCAACTCAGGAAAAATAGATGCGAACTCGCCAACAGAAGCCCCTGAGGTGGAGGACGAGAAGGGGGCAGCGAGTGCCCGGGTTGAGCCGGCACCAAGCACCTTTGTGTTTGTAGGTCTTAGATTAGGCAGATTCTCTCGTATATCCGTGAAAAAAAGGGGGGGAAGGGGCCCCTGCCGCACGTAAACGAGGCCAGGCCGCGGTTGCGGCCCAGCTGGCGGCGGAGGAGGCGGCCGAGGCCGCCAAGGGCACCTGCGAGGCTTCCAAGGCACTTCTGTCGGAGCACTCCGAGCGACAGGGCTCCTTGGCCCAAGACTTCGAGAAGTGGAGCCACCAGGCCCAGGAGGAGGCGGCGGCGAGGGTCTTGCAGGCGCACGAGGCAGCTATCGCCGACATGCTGAAAACCATGGACCGGCATCGATGGCAGACGAAGGAGGATGCCCTGAAGACTCGAGAGGAACTGATGACGGTTATGAAGAGCAATACCAAGGCGCCGGATGCAGAAACCGCATGAAACACATGTTTCACAGGCACGCTTGAGCCACGTGATCGCACATGAAAGCAGAAAGCACGACACCGGAAGCTTACCTGGGCAGCCCAACTAGTTGGAAGTAGACGTGATTGATTGTAGACGCAAGTGGTCAAGTCTGCATCTTCATAGCTTTCTCTTCGTCCAGGTCTTCGACGGCAAAGTCGCAGAGATCAGGCCTCGACAACCGTTGGACTTGTAGCCATTTGCCGTAGCCATGCAAGTGTGGCTGCTGCTGCTGTGCCAAGACGGTTTGTTTTCTTCCGGCTTGTCTCAGGTTTTATTCTTGTGATTTCTAGGGCCTGCTGGGACCCCCAAATCTCATCGGATCCAAATCCTTCAACACAACGTCTTACAGTAGAGATCAGCTGGCAGCTCCTCAAGCAGAAACATGACATGATTCTGCTTCAGGGGACGCCTGCAGCTACTTGCTGCCGAAGCCGGCCGCTCTTTGGGAGACCTGAATCTGGATGTGGAACGCCTCCGACGGGGCGACTCCAGCCTCTTCCAGGAGAGCACTGTGGAAAGCCCCTCACAAGGAGCCTCCAGCTCCCTTCCAGGTCTCAGAGAGCTTCGGCATGCTGTCTCGGATGAAATCCGCCGGCGAGACCAGGAGCCTCAGCGCATCAGTGAGAGGCTAAAGGAGTACACCGAGGACAGCACGATACCAGGGCCCAGTCGCTTGTCTCAGTTCCAGGAGGAAAGCCAAAGCCAAAGCAACAAGGCCTCCCCCATGGCCTTCACGGTGCTGGATGGTCTGCGTGGCTGTGAGGCAGCGATCTCTGCCATGGACAGGCGTGTGACGAAGCTTGAAGACTGTGTTGAAGACCGCTTATATGACATGGTTCGCTTCGATGTGGGCAAGCACGCAGCAATGCAGCAAGGCCATCTCTATGAAATGGGCCAAAAGATGGATAAGTTGGTGCATACTTTGCATACGCCCTCAGGGCACGAGAACGCCACCACTGCCCAGCTTTCTGCAGGTGCAGGGCCTCTGGGCAGTCGAGAAAGCTGGCGACAGCAATTTCGCTCTGCTCTGAGTGACTCGACGTACGTGCAGCGGGCTCTGAAGACAAACCGCCGAGCGAGTGGCGAGGACCCTCAAGGGTGATGAATCGTGGATTTGGTCGCACGAGGCCCCTCTGCCTCAGTGCCTGGCAAGCCGCTCTCACCGGCTTCGCTTGTTGTTATTGTTGACGAGACAAAGAGCTCATCAAGGTTGACGGTAGGGGCCGAGAGCAAAGGCTCTGCACCTCGGCTGCTTCCTGCAATCATGTTGCTGACGAGCACAGTCGTAATTGCTCGAACTCTTGTGCCAGAACACTTGCTCCTGCCCCGAATGTGCTACATTATGCAGTTCATGAGCGAAATGCGTTCAGAATGACAGCTAATGGACTTGGGCATGAAATTTATGCCCGGCTCCAGCGCTAAGCCAATGCCTAACACTACTCATGTCGAGGACATGCAGTAGTCCTCACATGTTGCAAAAGCAGCTTGTACATCTTGTCCAAAAGAGCAGGCGTGTCGGTTCAATCGCTTGTTGTGTTTCAGCCCTTCTAAACTAAGTCCTGAACTCTGGCATAAGTCGGTCTGCGACTTCGACACACCAAGCCTCCGAGCCATCGAAGCGGCATGTGCTTGCTCCAATGCGAAACAAAAAGTAGCGCTCCGTCTTTGCACGGCGTGGACATTTTTTCGGAGATCGTTCCCTAGATTTTGGTATGATGCTATTCGCCATGTTTGCACTCTTATGCCCTTGCCATCGTGTGCACAGCTTCTTGTCCCAATCAGTGGCGATGGGCTTAGGAAGTTTGCGTCTGAGGACATTAAGACATTCACGAGAACTGCAGGCTCCAGCTAATTACCGAGTGTCGCAATTCATGGGCCACCATGATGAGCAATGCAGACAGGCTTTCAAAACTGTTCGCACTTGCCACCGGCCCTACGGTTCTCCAGCCATGAAGTTGCACTGGAGAGGCAGGGGATGAATAATTATTCGCCTGCTTGTTCCGCGTTGCGTCCCTGGACCTCTGCAAGTACACCCGTAGGCGTATGTGTGATAACATCATTCACTTGACCTCGTGCTCAGCTGCGGGAATGGGGGGGGGGGGGGAAAGGCCATGTGTGCACACTGCACTCAGGGTGAGATGGGTGCCGCCCGGAGTCCCGGAGCCGCCGGGCCGAAGTGCCGTCATCTCTCTAGCCCCAAACTGGCAACCAATGGCAATGAAGCACCCGCTGCTGATTTCTGCGCATCGACTATCCAGCAGTGAGCTTCGTCACGGGCCAGGAGTCTAGATTCCGGAACACCTCGATTCGATGCCTGAGATCCGAATCTGGAGTCGAACAGCGGTTCTTGCAGATGACGGAAAGGTGGCTACAGGTTACAGATACCCCTTGTGGTCGCGATAACAGTGTCTCACCGATCGTTGCAATGATCCAGGCCAGCGCCATGCCACGGCCAAAGCCGCCTTCAGGCATACCCTTTCGCAGCTTCCCCATGTCCACAGTTTTCTCAAGCAAATTTGCGCTTTTTCCATAGCATGCCCGGGCTTCAATCCTGCAAGTGTCAGGTTTTGTGACAAGTAAATATCATGTCGCAGAGGGCTCTTTTCTTTGAGAGGGCTCTTTCAGAGGATGCTTGGCGCAAGCAGGTGGACGTTGGCTCTGGTTCTGTTCAGCCTGGGCTACAACGGTGACAGGCAACCACCCCGAGCTGTTTTAGGAAAGCCCTGGGCTTGCAGCAACTTGCGCGTGCCGGACAGGTCTCTGTGCGATGTCTTGGTAAAGCAGGTGTAAACGTATATCCTGGTGGCCCGCCTCGTCTCACCGGGATGCGTGCCATGCGCATTGTGAAGCTAATCATGTGACCCCTGTCAGTGGACGTAGGTGCATAGCTTTCGCATGGGAAGATGAGTGGGACAAGCGAGTCAAGAAAACAAGACGCGCTCGACCGCGGAGCATCGCGGAGCTGTGCAGGCCTGCCTGCCTCGCCTGCCTCTGCCGGGCCGTTTCGTCGGTGCGGTGCCCAGCCGGGACGCGACCAGAAGAACTCTGACATGTTGTGACGAGGAATGGCCGGCAAGCCGCATGAACTCCGATAGACATCTCGAGCGCTCATAACGGCTAAACGTATCTTTTGCAGATGAAGTCGGCCACAAATGACGAAGCCTTGAAGATCACGCACAGCAGATCCATCATCGAAGTGTGGGCGTTGGTGCTTCTTTCTGGCTGGGAAAGGCGCAGTGGTGATATTTCTCAAAAGGCAGGCTAGCGATGCGGTTTCAGGAGATTGCAAGGCCGACGCTGCCCCAAGAGCATCTGAGGCTGGCGTGCCAGCTGGCAATCAAGCTGTGGCTGAGGGCTTGCGGAAGGCGGCTCACAGCTCGCAGTGCCCTTCCCACAGAGATCGCCGCGCTCCTTTGAAATCAGGTGCAGTCCTGCATAGCGGAGGCAGCCGGCGGCCGTGACGTTCGGTTGGTGGCCGTGTCGAAGTTCAAGGCCGCAGAAGCAGTGCAAGCAGCGCTGGACTTGGGCCAGGCCGGGAATGCCAGGAAACAGTAAGCAGGAATGTGAAGTTTCTTCCACGGGATCTCCGCTGAGAGCCGAGCTCGGCCTTCAGGTGGATTTCGGAGAGAATTACGTGCAGGAGTTGCTGGAGAAAGCTTCCGCTCTGCCCTCCAACGTCAGGCCCAAGTTCTACCTGAGATGCGACATGATCCGACTATCTTTGTTCTGTTCTGTTCGTCCTCAGGTGGCATTTCATTGGACGTCTGCAGTCCAACAAGGCAGCGTGAGGCTATTCGCTCCGGTCTTGCCGTAATCGGCCTTAGCAGCACGAGCCGCGATCAGGTGAAGAAGCTAGTCAACATCCCGAATCTCGTAGCAATCGAAACAGTGGATTCGTCGGCGCTCGCAGACAGGACACTGGTGCACAGAGTGACTAGTGAGCATTTCTGTAGCCTTCTTCTTGATCAAGAAGAGTGGGCAGGATAGCTTCCGCTGCGCAAGCTGCTGGAAGGGGCGAGGGCGGCATTGATCCTCTGGACTTGTTCGTTCAGGCCGGAAGGGCTTTGAGGGAAGGAGACGATCACCATTGCTGCCACGACGGCCCTAACTCCACGCGAGGATCAGGGTGACGATGATAACTCTGATGATGATGATGATGATGATGATGACGATGATGGTAATGGCGATGGCGTGGGTCATGGTAGTCGTGTGAATTATCGTTCTTGTTTGCTTGTTTTCGCTGCAAGGGCCGAGCAAAGACCTTGGCAAAACGAACTCGGCTGTTGGTCAGGTCGACACCAGCAATGAGGAGACGAAAGGCGCATCGCATGGATTTGGAGTTTGAGCTGAGCTTTCATGGACTGCACGTGCCTCTCTCGCTCTCTCCATCTCACTCTCCATCTCCCTCTCCCCCTCCTCCCCCTCCCCCTCCCCC